CGGTAGCAACAAAAACTACGGGGAACCATGCAAAAAACGCATCTTCGCACGGACAGCCCGTGCGTTGGCCAATTTTTTTGCAGTTCTGTTCAGTTGGAGGTACTGAATTGCTACGAAATACCAACATGTTTTTTTAAGCTTTTGAGCATTGCTTCTATTTGTCTTGTATGTGTCCGAATATTCATTCTGATTTTTTTATCAGCCATCTTAACAGCGGATCAGTCGAGTTTACTGTTAAGAATATCCACTTCGTGTTCGCAAGTGGAACGTAGACATTCGTGAAATTTAAATTTTATACGTAAGATTGTACAAAACCGAGGATTTTAGCTTTCTGTCTTATCTGATTAAAGAAAACAAAATTTTTTGCGAAAGTTCATGTGAAGCACAAACGGACGTGGAAACCGAATTCGAAATTCTAGGACTGCACATTAGCAGAAAACATCATCACAAATTTCAAACTTCCCATTCTGTCCGGTTCCTGAGACACAAAACTTTCTGCCAGTACTTTCACATCAAGAATGGACTTGAGATCTAGGAGTAAATAGAAGCTGTGTCTGAATTTTTGAGGTTGCACATACGCAGGCAACATATTTCTAAAATTTCAACTTGCTTATTTCTCCAGTACCTGAGCTGAAAACCCCGAATGAAAAGCACCCTGATACAGACACACAAACACACACACATGCACACACATATACAGATACTGACACACACACACACACACACACATGCACACATATACACAGATATTGACACACACACACATGCACACACATACACAGATATTGACACACACACACACACACACGGATAGAGACACACACACACACTTGCTGAACGAGCAAGAGAGTTGGTTTACACGGATATTCTGTGCATCTATGCGATTTGATAATTCTAAATTTGGATTCAGAGCAAACATAAACCTCGCTTGCGCGTAAGTGAAAGTTTAATTTAGAAGTCTTGACTCAGCAGCTTAGACACCTAATTAATTCGATAACTAGACTGGGACGGAAGCAAGTTTTTTTCTGAAGATATTTGCTATTCATAAAATTAGCTTTTGTCTAGGCACGGACAGTGTGCTAGACGCATCAAATGTACAAATTGCAACAACATAGTCACGTTCCAGTCGCAGAGGCGATGTCTTTAAGGATGGAATCATACAAAAGTGCTTGATCGCACCGGCAAGGTCTGTGCGCCACCTAGGCTTTTGTGTCTGAATTGTTGAGGAGAAAATCAGCTAGTTGCTAGATTTCAGTAGTCTGCAGCACCCTTCCCTTTCTTTCTCTTCCTCATTCTCGCCCGTGATTACGTACGACTGTAGTTTGGTGTAATGATCTTACCACAGTATGCGCTAGGAAAACCATCTGGTGATAGTGAGAGGTAATAAAATACAGTAGACTACTGAATATTACGAGGAAAGTGTTAATCGAACCCTGAAAAAGCTGCCAGTGAGATGATCTAAACGCGTTTATGAAAATGGAAGATTGTGGATAGCTCATGCGGAACGAGAGGGCTGCGTCGATGACGAGAAAGATGAGCTTGAAATAGCATCTGCCAAGCATCAGAGCAATCTCATATCCATTATAGCATATTTGACAGTAAAATCTGATCAGCCAGAGGGAGGCAGAGCATTATAAAATTAGCAATGAAAACATAAAAATGAACGTCAAGATCGCTTACAGACTGTTAGCTCGTTGGGACGCCGGCTGCTCCGATGGCAAGCAGATGTCTATTCACAAAAGACGACAACTAATTAAAGTATCAAAGTGAGTATCATTAAAACAAAAAAATCCGATCAGTTGTGGGGAAGCATTTGTATCACATTGCTAAGGACTGATCTGTTCGTCGGCACTGCACAAATCAATTTTGTAGGCGATTGTTTTGGAGCGCAGCATGCTGTGGGCATTGTCAAAGCAAATCTCATAGAGACCAGTCTCGTCACACCGTATTTCACCAAATTCCGGACAAAATTGGGTATTAAGACAGAATCGTGGAACTACCTGAAATTCATTAAATCAAGCCAACTCGACTTTTCCTTTGAGTAGCCAATCATGCGGTAATTTAAAGGGTTGTAAGGTTGTCACGCGAAAAGTGACAGCCAAAAGTGAAATTCAAACAGGCTCAAGAGGCCAGAGACATCATTAAACAGTGGATAAAAGGATACGTGCTCTAGAAAATATTGCCGTCTTTTATCCATGTTCTGACCTCTTTACCATCTTTTTGAATATAGTACTTGATGTCACCACCAGAACATGTAAAATTCCATTTCAGGATCTGTCCTCGCATTACCACATTTGCATGTATAACGGAACAACGACGTGGAGAAACTTTGATTACTTTCAGCTCGCTATTTGGAAGTTTTTCTGATGGCTGCATCGAATCACTGCAAAACGATTTTTGCTTACTACAGTGATTATCCAAAATTACGATATCTTGGGGAACATATCTCAGACTTTCAGGCCGCTACATTATCGGACGCTGTTTTCTACACCAGTATTGCACAAAGTTAATAAAGTTATGAAACTCTTATATTTAGCAGCGTTGTAGTAAACAAAAGTTAGACATGTATACTAAACTCGAAGGGATGCGACTAATTGTTCAAGATAACAATCCTGTTTAGTTTCAGCGATAGCATACTGCTAAATATGCTTTAATTTATTAGCTGAAGACTAAAAATAAGATGCTCACCGCAGCTGCGCCTTTTACAGTTACTGCTATGTGCGCACAATAGGTGAATGCGCCAACATATGCAACCCAGTCGGTGGATGTATGTCACCAGAATTCAAACCCGTGTCTTATGCTTTTCGGAGATAGTAACATGGATCAACAAGTTAGGTTTGGGACTATAGATCGCAAAACTGATCAACTGGTCCCGAGTTATAGAGTTATTCTGCTAAAGCCTGCGGGCGAAACAAAGTGGAATCTAAAAGCCAATCTAAATTTTGCACCACACGTACCTGTCTTTAAAATTCAGAGTTTAAAATCTTTTTTGCTTTTAGACTGCAGCAGTATTCGAAAACTAAATGTGGGTGCAGAGTCCGGAATTTGAAAGACTAGGAACTAATTTAAGATTATAAATTCCTGCATAAGCATGAGCAGTGTCCACGAAACTCTAGCTGTCACAGTTACGGAGTAGAATCACATAAGCACGCGCATAAAAATGTGGGCACGCAAAAACGATCTTGTCAAAAAAGTTATTAATCTAGGAACAACGAAATAAACGCCAACTTTCGTCAACTGTTAACAATCATGCGGATTTTTAATACAAACATTTAAGAAACAAAGGTGCCGAATGGAATTGAAACGAGACTACCTGAGTTTTCTTACATCTGCACTCTCGCACCAAACACTTACTAAGGTTTCTTAAACCATACGTAGGATCTCATATATTGGATTTGGGCGACATCATGGTGGGACAGTACGCCATGAGAAAGTTTATTTGTGAATTTTCTAAACTGCCAAACTAAACCAACTCTTAGTTTCACACTTGTGGCTCCTCTCCGCATTTTACATCTGTAGAAACGGAAATACCCGTTTCTTGGCCAGCCAGTAAATTGCCCTTTTTGGTCCGCATTAACGCGGTCAGACGATGACGATTCTTCCGGTGACTGCATGGGACGAAGTTTACAGTTTAGATTTCAACACAACAGAAGGTTTCGCAACGCTAATATCTAGGTCAAAACGATGCCAGAGCCATTTATCAGCTCGCATTTCTATCAGTACGTAATAAGAAGGCGCTGGCTAATGGTACTGCAAGGACAGAAAACGAAAGACTTCTTTTTAAGCCAGAATTGTTTATGCTGAAATGACAAATGCAGGTAAGCTGAATAAATGGTACCGAAATCAGTCACGACAGGTTTAGAACAAAAATGGGTAATTCAGTTGGAAACGAAATTCTAAGTTGCAAAATCTCAACTCAGTTTTGTTTCCGTTCAAAAATGTACATTTCTCAGTCTTCTGGAAATTTAAACGAGCCATAAAATGCTTCGCAAACAACTTCAAATTTAACTTAGTTCGCCCCATGCCTTTGCTCTCTCAACTTCTCGCATCTACTTGCATGCTACAGTCAGCTTAGCGCTAAAAAATCACAAAGTCAGGGCCTGGTATAATTGCACTCGACGTGTGGGTGCTTCCTAGTAATATCACTGGTAGAGGACATCCACATAATAGCTGAAGCAGTCTTGGTATTTTTGGTTTTATTTGGATTTGAGCAAATGAAGTGTAAAAATTGTCTCATTCGCCTTAGAAACTAAGCATTGCACTGACCGATTATTGGCGTGCATCAGTATTTTCCAGTAGAACAGGGAAACCAAATTTAAGATAAACGTAGTCACAAACTTACATGACTTGCTGCGGTGGTTCGCCACCCATCCGAATAGCGCCGGTCGGCTGATTGGTTGCCATAGTTCCTCCCCAGTATGGCAGAATATTTTCTTCACCTATTTCAGCTTTTAGACGTGAACACCATTCACTATCCAAAAACTCAAACGCTTCTCTGCTCTTCTAAAAAACAAATGGCCAACTAATTATACTCAGGTATTTTACACTGATCCTCATCCGAGCAGGACATTACCGGTGTCAAACACATGTACATAACAGGAGCACGTTTTCTCTTCCCCTCCTTTCATTCCTTCTCTTTCATTGTTTACTGAACCCTCCACCCTCCTCCCCCATCTCCTTTCCTCCTACCCCTCCTTTTCCCCTCTCTGCGCATCTTCGCCCTGCGAGTAAAAAAAGACTTTCTAAAATTAGGTACTGCATTCGGTCCTAGTTCTTTCCTGCATTTTTAATCAAAAATGATTTTTTTTTCACTGGAATGGCACTTAGAAAAAGCCGATAAAGTTTTACCTCATCTTTTATTTCCTGATCAACTGCTAGTAAGGTATGAAAAATTACAAACAACCAATTTAAATTTACATCTCATGTTTAATTGAGATTAATATGACATTTTCCCCCACCGCAACTATTTCAAAAAAATGCAGGAAAGAACTAGGACCGAATGCAGTACCTATTTTTATAAAGTCTTTTTTCTCGTATTTCAACATTCTGAATTATCACTCTTTGCCAAGAGCTAAAATTCAGGGAACCAAAAGTAAGGAGTTACGCTAAAAAAGCAAACACAAAAAAATAAGACGCACCATCAAAAATACTTTCAGCAAACGCCTTTAGAATTTATGGTCATTAGCCAAATTAAGCGGTGCATTAAAAATTTTGTCTTATGAATACTTGTGTTAAGTGCTCAATAATAAAAAGCTAAGGAAGCACCGAGCTCGTTAGTACATTCATGTGTTTTTGCATAATTCCATCCTGTAAAAAAATCGCATGCGACTGTAGTGTTATAATCTGAACATTTAATGCGCCTGTGTGGAGGGCCTATGCCTCTTATGCTTGTTGGCCCGTATATAAACGGCTAGCACCTTCAGAAAAATACTGCTTTCTGCTCGGACCGGTTATCGAATTAACTGGGTGTCAAGAACTTAGAAATTTCTTGTGAAATTTCAACGTCATGCCTTGTCTGACTCCCGACAAAAAATTCAAGTTTTCTTTTAAGCGTCCATACGTGAGATCCAGGCGCACATTAGTGATAATGTTAAAAAAGGTGGGCCACATGCCGGATGGGAACAGGCTCTAAAAATTGCAGATCACTAATTTTTCTGGTTGCTGAATTAAAAGTAGGTCACAAGACGCAAACATATGTGTATAACCAACCTCTTATCAGTATGCGTTTTTACATTTTGCATAAATATGCAAAAAAGCATAAAAGAGTTGGAAATGAACATATAAGCCTTTTTGCCCTACTCTACTCCAATGTAACTGTCTCCAGCCCCTTTCTCTTTTTCGCAGTGATGTCTACCTTTTGAAATTTTATCTAAAACAAACCTTAGTAAGGACGTACTGGATGAGACGGTAAGCTTGCATTATTATTGAAGAGTACGCGTTAACTACATAGATTTTTCGAGAAACACCGGGAAACATTAACTGAAAATCGTTTTTTTTATCACCCTATATTAAAAAAAAGTGTAAAACATTATTAAACACTTCTCACAGTTCATGCTGCAGGTGTATTCAGTAAAATCGACCAGAA